TGTATTATACAATCCATCCTTACATAAGAATCTAACTGATTTATTATGTGACTATAAGATTTACACAAAAAAAGTTGATGCGGAAAAATAATTTTGTTATACGAGTCAGTCCTAGGTATGAAACTACTGATATTTGTTTACGATTAAATATTTTGAATAAAAAGAGGACATGCTGGTACTATAAATTGATGCGAACAAAATTTTGTAGTCATTGTGTTCTAATATTGCTGTAATTTGTATTATACAGTCCCTACTGACCTAAAAATATAACAGAATTACTGTGCAGCTAAATATATTTACTTGATAAAGACCAAATATGGTCAGTTTTGGTTAATGAGGTCACATAATTTTGTTATACGAGTCAGTCTGAGGTATGAAAACTACTGATATTTGATTACGATTCAATATTTTGAATAAAAAGAGGACATGCTGGCACTCTCAATTGATGCGAACAAAAGTTTGTAGTCATTGTGGTCCAATATTGCTATCATTTGTATTATACAATCCACCCTTACATAAAAATATTACTGATTAACTATGCGACTATAAGATTTACACGAAAAAGAGCAAATAAGGTCAGTTTTGGTTGATGCGGACAAATAATTTTATTACACGAGTCAGTCTGAGGTACGAAAACTACTGATATTTGTTTATGATTAAATATTTTGAATAAAAAAAGGACATGCTGGCTCTATAAATTGATGCGAACCAAATTTTGTAGTCATTGTTTTCCAATATTGCTGTCATTTGTATTATACAATCCCTCCTGACAAAAAAATATAACTGAATTATGGTGCGGCTATATAGATTTTATTTGATGAAGAGCAAATATGGTCAGTTTTGGTTAGTGAGGTCAAATAATTTTGTTATACGAGTCATCCTGAGTCAGACATTCTGAGATGTGAAAACTGCTGGATTTTGGTGATGATTTAATTATTTGAATAAAAGAAGGACATGCTTGAACTGTTTATTTGTGAAGAAAAAGAAATTTACTATAAATAATTTTCAATTAATTAAAGAGGTGTAATAACATTATTGATTAACTGCAATCGTCAATATGTCAATCGAAAATGAACAGTTGGTCATTTAATTTTGATTTACTTTAAATTATCATTTGATATTTAAGGTCAGTTTATCCAGGATACGATGACAATTTGCGTTAACGCGCGTTTACTACAAATAGTAAACGTGCGTTTACTTTTGACGAAATTAGAAGACGCGCCTTTTTGCATGTTAACACGGAAGTAAACGCCCGTTTACTCTTTACGAACTTAGAAGACGCGCCGATTTTGCATTAACGCGGAGGTAAACGCGAAAGTAAATGCCCGTTTACTTTTTATGTCTAGAGAAATTTCGGAGTTAACACGGCGTTTACTTGAAGTGCACGCGAGTAAACGCCGCGTTAACTTTTCCCGCCCGTCTACATGTAATGCTTTGTCTGCACCCAACTGTATTTTGATATCTTTGTGAATTCCTATTATCGATTAATGCAAAACTTTGACGAACAAAGCATATTCACATATTCTACGTACTTGTTAGTTAAAAAGGTTAAAAGCTAGCTTTAAGATATTTCCAAAGCACGCAGGCGATGTTAGGAAGAGAGTACTTCTATACTTTCACAGGGTTTTAACGAGTGACACTTGTTTTATCTTATATTTACTTTAACGGCATGTGGAAATTCTTTCTGGATGTTGTTCGTATATTAATTTTTATTCTACGGAGGATTTTGTGGTTGGTGTTGTCTGTCGTAATGTCAATATCGGTAGTAATGTCTGTTGTTGACTATGCATTATTGTTAGTTAGTGTTGTTGTCGATGACGTCAACATTTTGGTTCCGTTTGTGTTTAAATATTTTTTAGGCATCGGTTACTTTGCAAACCTTTAATGAATTTTATTATATTTGGATATATAAAGAGCAAAAAATTTAATTGTTTCATGTTTTCTGTTTAACTGATAAATGGAGATAGTTTTGTTTTAAATTGTTCAGAAGATAAAATATGTGGTAAAAAATTGTTATAAATAAAAAGGTCTATTCCACAAACTTTTATAAATCTATCGCAAAAGTTTGTTTAGGATTACTAGTAAGATATTATGCCTGCAACATTTTGAAAACATGTTTTTTTTTCAATTTCTTGATATTTTACTGATGGACTGTTTGCAATAACCCTTTACAGGTAGTATGGATGTGGTTTGCTTGACAATATAAAACTTGAATGATGTAATCCTTTATGATTTGTAATACACTTGTAAAAAAGCTAATCGTCAAGATCACGAACAATCACCTGAAGACAAAATTTAAATTTTTTTTTAATTCTTTCTATAACTGATGAACAGGTTAACTTTTATGATGTTGACATAATACCGAATTCTGCTAAAATTTAACAGTGTAACCTGAGTTACCCGACACATAGGGGGAACAGAGAAAAAATCAGATTGTATTGTCAACTCAATGTTACTTCATTGAATCGTGAAATTATATATTATAAAGATATATTTTTGAACTAGAATATCTCTTTTTGACGGTTGTTAAAACATTGTTTTGAAATAAAACAAGTTCCTTGAAACAACTTATTCCTAGATTTAAAAAAAAACAAATATATGGAAATTGCTATCCGTTAATGTACCTAATCATAGGTTTTCAAATAAAACTCCGTTAACAATGCCTTACTTCACTCCTCATTCCAAATTTCCAAAATAATGTTATCCTTTTCATAAAAAAAAACCATATAAGATAGTACTGAAAACAAGATGCTAAAAATATTTTCCAGTCATCTTACTACCAGCCCAGAAACATTTATGTTTTAATTAACATTTGGACGGCATAATACACATAACATAATATCATATGTAAATTATAACAATGAATAAATATAAGATTTATAAAAATCGCATACAGTACGAAAAAGGACAGGCAAATAACAAATGTCGAAGAAAAATACACAACACCATGATAGAAAAGAGGGGAAAAATACACAACACCATGATAGAAAAGAGGGGAAAAATACACAACACCTTGATAGAAAAGAGGGGAAAAATACACAACACCATGATAGAAAAGAGGGGGAAAAATACACAACACTATGATAGAAAAGAGGGGAAAAATAGACAACACCATGATAGAAAAGAGGGGAAAAATACACAACACCATGATAGAAAAAAGGGGTTTATCACAGATGCGCCGGAATCGATGCAAATACATTCCGATAATTAGTCACATTCGCTGATATCATAATCAAGAAAAGAGGGGGATTGTGGCTACGACATAATCAACATACATGTGAACATCTGTTGCAGAGATATTCAACAATGGTCAATCAAGTCATGGCGAGGTCAATAAAACTTAGAAGGAGTGACATCAATATTACGATTATGATTTATATATTAAAAGGAATCTTCATAGATAGTGTATCTACTATGTTTACAAAAGTCTACAAAATTGGTACCAGTATAACAATACGGTGACATTTCACTTACAGATTAAAGCTCAGAAAGATGTCAATCTATCGTATTGTAATGAAAAGGTATGTGTCTATTGTCATACCAAATACGGGATGTTACTTCCGGGTTTAAAAGGAATATATTGTCTAAATTTTAATATCAGTGCTGTCTCTAAGATATAATATATATTTTCATCATATGTTGTGTGTTGTTTCTTTTTAGGGGTGCTGTTGTTGCTCTTCATGCAATCTATATATTATCTGTGCAATTTAATCTTTTGTCCTGTTGAAGACTAGCTACATATGTATTTCTGAAGTTTATCACCAATGTAGGAACAATTTTGCAAACGAGGATGTCATCTTGTAAACGTTTTAATTGCCTAAGAAGTCATCTTAGACACTAAAAGATGTAAACGCCTACCCAAGGAGCTTCATTGACATTGAAATTAAAAGAAACAGTTGAAATATTTTTATTCACTTTTTTTCAAAATATTAAAATAGATAAAATAGAAATTTATGATTTGGTTTGTTTAAATCGTCGCTGTATAGCACTTCAAACAGTTTATCCTTATTGTTCCACTTGAAGTTATTTTCAAATTTAAAGTAAAATGTTCAAACTTTTTTTTTATAAAATACAATGCTCTAAAGCTCCTTTTTAACACATACTAATGGTGTCATTATCATTGTTTTGCTAACATATTACCATTTATATTTACATCTTAAAACTTATTCTGAAACACTCTCTGTTAATAAATTCGTGAAAAATTATTTCAAAAGATAAAAAGATATGAAAAATCTTCACTACTTCATAATAGACAACTTTCGAGTTCGATGCATTTCCGTCAAAAACTCTGGTTTTAGTGAACATCATTCGTGCGTTTAGGCGCATCGTCACTTCCGTTCCAATGTTGAGCGAGTGGTTGGAAAACTATAATGCTATATTGCACGAATTATTCGGCAAATTAAATTCTCTAAATTGACAATTAGCACTGCTGTCATTAGGGAATTGTGATTAAGTACTTACAAAACAAACGTTATTTCTAGTTTATCCTGCACAATGACGATCACTAAGACGCTTGATGAACGTTAATAGTGTAGGGATACAGGCGATCCCCTCTATCTGGTAAATGACGTAATAAAAGCGCGCATAATTGACGAGTTTTTTCCGGTGAAGGATGAACTCGAAAGTGGTCTATTCTACATACATGTAATGACAAACATAACATTTTTTCGCAATTATTCCTTCAAAAATACAAATGTTCATGTTCAGAATGGCACACCACAACACCCCACCGTTTATTTGTTTCGTTTCAATCATTATGATAATCATAACAATGATTTTACTATATAGAGACATTTATTCACTATTATTGTAAAAATACCTTTGTTTTGGAAAATAAAGTATCTCTCCCGTATTGTTAGTTCAAGATCATGCAGTGCGTTATGTTTTCCTCTGTTATCCCCAAGATTATAGCAACAAAGAAATTGTAGAAGATATGAGTACATAACAGGAGGGAAAATAAGACTGTTGAATGTAATTAAAGGTTTCAGTTCGTCTGGCAATAAACAAAACGGGTGTCGAAAACATACAACTTCAATTATCAAATTTTTAAACGTTAGCAATAATCCAAATTTTTGCTTCATTTTCTTGAATATAGTTTGTTCCGCCAAGCTGTTGTGAATTTTTAGATGTATCTTATCAGGGGTATAAATGGTTAAACTATAACTGATAATATCGAGACATTCCTTAACTCGTGTACATTTATAAAATAAAGATGCTAAAAATAACCAGGAGGAACTTGAATCGCTATGTAAACTTATCTTGAAATAGCAAAATGTTCTCTTGATTTGTTTGTAAAAAGATTTGTTTCTGTTCGTCATCTTAAGATGATCAGAAGTATGTATAGATTTTCTAAAACATACACTTAACATATACACACACATTTCTTTTTTTAAAATATAATTGTAACCATCAAAAAATCTTTTAGATAAAATTCGAATGGAATTTTCATCATGCATACACATACATATATAAGTAAAACAGGACAATTCCGACGCAGTTATTGTCATTCTACGAAAACTTACTGATTCTGATAAGAAATATTGAAAAGTTGTCGTATGAAACACAGAAATCAACGGCGATCCATAAATAGACCGAAGTGTTTCCAGCAATGCATTATGATGGTTGTCAGTAAATCTATCTTCAAACAGATTGTTTTCTGGAATAAAGTAATGAAGACATGTTCTATATTCCACACAGTAAATTACTCTCCTGACACAATCCAAAAAAACAAAATATCATATTCCTAGGTTTCCATTTTGATGGACCTGTTTCCTCAATCAACCAAAACATTATTGTTTTAAGGAAATAAGAACAAAGAAGATCCCCATGTTTGGGTTTGATTATGTCCTTTAAAATGATTTTAAGTAACGCATAACATAATAACTGAGTATGGCAAAAGGAATGAATCAACATTTTTTCGGTCACAGAAAACGATACCCGCCATTGTAAGTCCTCATTTGGGGAATTTTAACATCCAATAGGAACAAATAAAACTCCATATTGTACAGCTGAGGTAGCTAATGTGTCATGTGGCCATGTTGTACGTGATCTGGAAATCCATTGTTGAGCTTGTGATATCCGTTCTTTACATCTTAAACAAGATGCATAATCCAATCCACCACCTGGTGTTGACTGACATGGTGCATGAATAACCATGCCATCTTCTAAGTTTTGTTCCCGAAAACGTTTACTTGAAATGTACTTTTCTTCTCCCACAGTCTCAAACCAGTCACATATTATGCCAATATCAAAGAATAACTCGTTAGCTAACTTCAGTTTTGTAAATCCAGGTTTTGTGTCGTTTGTATCCATAAACAATATTATTCTATATGGATCATACTGGACATTATTAAAGCTTTCATACACACGAATAACTTTTAGAAGAATCATCTGATCGAAATCACTACCTTTGAGATAAATACCTTCTGCTTTACTAGCACTACTTAATAAGGTTACACTTGTATTACTTTCAACAATGTCCTTAGCAGTAAATATCTCTCTTCTTGTCCTTACAACTTCCTCAGAAACAACGATGTCACATAAGTAATTATAAAATTGAAACGATAGATTCTTGTCCTCTAAATTCATATTTGCAACATATTTAGAAAACAAATAAAAAAAAAAGATTTAATTATTTCATAAAATATTTAATCAACTCTGGTAGCACAACGTTATTTGTCGAGGACTCGTCAGAACATGCTTGAATATGTTTAATATGCACTCAACATTCGGACTGTATGTTGTCATTGTTGTTTCAAGGATGTGAAACTAATGATTGCGTTATATATAGAGAAACAACTACTTACATACATTTTACGGGTACAAAATCTAATCGATGAGAGAATGCATGGAGGCGTATCAGAGATAACTGAGTTAAATTCTGTGTATTTTAGTTATGAAATAAAATAACTACACATACTGTATATTTTTTCTATCGATAATTTGAGTTTTACCCTGCAATTTTACATTGAAGTTAAAAATATTTGTTTTTTCTTAATTCTACATTGTTGTCTTTAATATTCAAACATTTGTTTTGATACTGATATCTCGAAAACGAACTGTTATGTTAATAACTAATATAATAAAACTGGTCGGCAAAATAGAGCTCAAGGAGATGATATGTGTAGCGTTTAATTTAATGACATACGTTGAGTAATAATTCTTTATCTGATTTGCAAATGAAAATTAATTTTTCACTTATATTGATTAGGCATTTGAAGATTATACTGTTTTTTACCAAATATATGAAGCTGCATATGCACATTTGACCTTGTAAGTACTCTCATTTGTTAAAATTTCATGCTATTTAAGTAAAATATAATAAAAAAAGAAATATTCTGAGTTGATTGAGTTTCAAAGACAAATGTTATGAGAACATTTGGTTGAAATAGGACCATGTATATTAATAGACAGAACTCAGTGTTATGAGGAGTTTTTTTCTGACTTTTTCTCCTTATTTCTTATTTTCTGCTATAATAGAAAACTTTTTCCAAAGTGATATTTTAATAAATATATAGTTATAAGAAGATGAAATTACTTTTAATAAACAACAAATTATTCACTGGAACGCGGAGTAAATTTAAGTTTTACTTTAGGACTTATTGAAAACTCCTTGGAGTCAGTAAACTTTTATATCGAAAGTTCATTCAGCTTGAATACTTTAATTTCTTGTTTATTATAACATGTATATCATGTATGAGTGAAAGCTATCCCAATTTTTTTTATTTATTGACCTAAAAAGTAGAAATTTTAAGTAAACGAAACCTTATAGTGTAGACAAAGATGTCTATTAGTGGTACTGTTTGGCAGCAAATGAGATAAATATTTGATAATGTATTGGTCACACTATAGTCTATTATGATGAGGCTTGATATGGGTTATCCTAAGAAATTTTGCTGGAATCAATGTTAATGTCGTCTTAATTTTAAGTCCTCAATGCTCTTCAATTTTGTACTTGATTTGGCTTTCTTACTATTTTGATCTGAGTGTCACTGATGAGTCTTATGTAGACGAAACGCACGTCTGGCGTATCAAATAATAAGCCTGGTACATTTAATAACTATTTACATTATATATTTTTATACCACATTTTTCTCAAACTGTCGAATTGATTATGACAAAACTTGACAGTAATGCATGAAATAACCAGTATTACAAAAGAAAAGTCACATTCAGTTTATTCAACAACAAAGTCTTCTTTAGGTGTAATACCAGCATCATGACAAAATCATAGTACGTCACATTCGGTTGCATACGAAAAAAGGTCGAACATTGTTTTTAGAAGAATATGTTGGAGCTATATCTAGTTGTATACCTTATAACTTTATTTTTTAGTATACCCAATACCTATATTTAATAGTAAACCTTTGACCTATTTGACAAAGTGTAATTGTGACTTTGATGAAGAGTTGTCTCATTGGCACTTATATCATAAAATCTTGTATCTACTTATTCAATTATTTTCTAATATACCGTATACATGTACCTGTATATTTTTAGAATATATAATAAAATTGAGAATGGAAATAAGGTATGCGTTAAAGAGACAACAATCCGACCAAAGAGCAAACACCAGCCCAAGGCCAGCAATGGGTCGTCAAGACAGAAGAATATACCTATATTTAGCTGTATACCTTTTACCTATAGTCAGTTGTATGCATTATATTTATATTTAGCTGTATACCTTTTATTTATATTTAGAAGTAGGGACTATGTGTGATTTATTTTCCACAGTTCAATTTCGTTTCCTGCTGACACTAAAAACCAACAACTGTACCTTCGAACAAATCCTTTCAAAATGATATCCACCGAAAACCAATACTCCACAGTTTTACAACGTTCTCCAATTTTCATACAAAAAAAAAGTTGTTGAAGTCCGATTTTGATGATTTTGATAATTTTTTGCAATGTTTATTTTGTTAACGTTAATAATTCGCTACTTTTCATGCCCATATAACGAAATATGAAAACATAACAATTTTAATATAACTGGTCGGAGTCAAGTCGATAATACTTGTATCGTTATTTCCGGGCCACTTGAGATCAAAATCGAAATCTTATAAAAAATAACATTAGTTAATTGACTTTGATAAGAGTATGTTAAGTGATAAACTTTATACCTGTAAGTAGGAATATTGTACTTGTCTATATTTTTACTAATTTGATTCGTTTAGACAGAGTTACATGTTCAACTATATTTTCAAGGCAAGACTGAAAACTACAGATATAAAGTGGTTATGTGTAGCATGTACGACACAAAAGATAGAAGCAATCAAACGAATATGTGTGCTTTTTATTTCTAACTACAAAAAAGAAGATGTGGTATGATTGCAAATGAGACAACTCTCCACAAGAGACACAGAATTTAACAACTATAGGTCACCGTAAGGCCTTCAACAATGAGCAAAGCCCATACCGCACAGTCAGCTATAAAACTAATTGACAGTACTGCTATAAAAATCGTAGCCTTTGTACGAAGTTGGTTACGAGGCTATACCAACCCTTGGAAAATTCAGACTGATCGATATATCTTCGTGTCGATCTCATACAAAGGCTATATCTATACCGTATATTGACATTTATACAAGATTGTATAGGTTCAGGAAAAACAAACGAAAATTAGGATAAACACAACGGAACTGTTTTTGAAGTGCGACAGGGAAAAATTATCTCCTGCTATGCTTGGAATATTTCAATTTTTAAACATAACCGTATCTTTTGGAGATTTTACCTTCGTTCTTGTGATTTAGATCACATACTTTTAAATGCAAAGTACCATTGCCGACTATGTTATTGTTAGCAATTATTTTCTTAAATGATGCTTTACATAAATTGTTCTTGCGTTATACGAGCGCGATTTTTTTCACAGATTTAACTTATGCGGGTTTTTTGAATGGCACGCAATTTTGTATACTCAATGTTTTCGTGTATATATGAATCGAAATCTTTTAAAAATCAATATAAATTGATTAACTTTGCTAAGACAATGGTAGTAGTATACCTATATTTAGTTGTTTATTGATATTCAATTAAAATTTCAGGGTTCAAAATATCAGATGAAGATATAGTAAAACATTTGGATGTGCATGCATTCATAAAGAATTATTTTTCAAGCGTCGAAAATAACTAATTATTTCGTTCTATGCTTTCATCGCTGGTCACTAATTTTAATGTCAAGTCATGGGGCAAATGGCAAATAAAAACTGAATCACGATAGAAGGACATCCTGGATCTCTGACAGAGGTTACGTGTAAATAAAGCTATATCTTACTGTATGCACTTCATATTTGTGAACAAAATCACATTACTAAACTATTAGCACAATCCAACGTCACTTATTATTTTTGTGGCGAAAAATTAAAGGTAACATTAGTCCATTGACATATGGTATATGAATTATTTTTTTAATATAACTGTATCTATATGTAAAAGGAGTGATATTGTGCAAAATGTGTTTACTTTTAGCAATGGTTTTTACTTTCCTTTTTAAATATAGTGCATACTCAACTAATAAATCTTTATGAATACACTAAAGTTATGTACTCACACAAATTTCTGATCTTCGGTATAATTTGTATACTATCTTGATGAAAGCGAATCAAGTTTTTGAATAGTAGTTAGCATTTGTGTAAACAAAATGGTAGCAGCTGAATAGAAAGTAAAATATCTAACAAACAGGACAATCTATTTATACCTATGACATTTAAATATTTAGATCAGGTGATCTCCATATCTAATATTTCTTTACGGTTAATCTGAAGGGTAATGCCTAGGTAACTCCATTTGTTTTTATTATTTTTACGTCAAGTACGACATTTAAAATATATGGGTCCTTGTATTATCTGTAACAGTCTTATTGGAATGAAGCACTGCGTTTTATGCTTGTGACATACTGGATATGACCTTTAAAACTGCCAACACAGCAAAACGTATATTTTATTGTTTAGTAATGTTCATATTCATGACAGTAAAAATGCGTATTAAATAATTATCGATGGTAGCAGACTTATGATTTAATACGCCAGACGGACGTGTCATCTACATAAGACTCATCAGTGACGCTCAAATAAAACAAATATTCTAAAACCAAACAAGTACAAAGTTGGAGAGCATTGGTGACCCTAACTTCCAAAACCATACTTGTACTACATGCGAACTGGAAATTCCAACATTTGTAGCCGTTATGTCAATTCAGAATTCTGGTACGCACAGATCACACATTTATGTTTTAAAACAATGCCAGAAAAATAGTTGTCCTTTAAATATTTAAAAACAAAGTAGCTAAAAAAACAAATAATATTAATTTATTCTGAAAATCACAAACTTTTGCGTTATTTGGTTGCTTCAAATTTTCAAATTATTAAACATTGTGTCTTACAGACATAAGAAAAAAGGGAAACATTGTTAAACATTTTTTCTTTCTATAAAATCTCATCAGTCTCTATTGACTTATTTTTGTGTGCTTAAGTGAAGTTGTATGGTTCCAATTATTAATTTTCACGTTTATGTGAAAAATTGGTATTATATAGTGTGAGACGAATATCCTTAGCATCAATAAATGTATACAAATCATAATACTTTCGCGCCCTTCCCCAA